AAGCGAAATGACAACAGTTAGAGATAACAGTTCTACGATAAATCGGCCGTCATGAAGAAAATGGGTAGTTATAGAGCATCAAGCAGTTTCCAAACAATTTTTCACAAAGAAACTATCAAGCGAATATAAAAGGAAAGGAAGACATAAGGAAGAAGCCCCCGAATCAAACACTCTCAACAGATCATATGAATTTCAATTTCTTAGTTTAACTTTAAAATACTTCTTTTAGTACTCGTGTGCTTGCGTCCCTTGGAGGCATTCTGTTTATTTCCAATTGTAAATCTTCACCAATAAAGCACCAATTTTTAGGACTTTGTCTCAAAAGGTCTATTCCTTACACAATCATCTAAACCTTTTTTTTTAATTGTTAGCGACAACCCGAGCGAAATAATTTGGCACGCACGATGGGACATTGGTGTTTGGTGTTTGATGATACAAAAAGTGAAATAATATGCCTCATAAGTCTGATAAGGAACTAGCAAGTCAGGGAGTAGTCCAGTCTGTGATCAAGCGATATGAGGAGTAGCAAAGTTCTCTACGAACAGAGGGACAGAGTCAGCGCAGTCACAGTCATTACGAACAAATGACAGAGTTGAGTCCTCGAACCATGCGTACATTGCTTGAAGAACTCACACAGGATTTCGTTGAACAGGTGAATCTATGAAATGTTCATAATATGGAAAGATTTACCCAAAATGGGAATGCACATAATGACAACATAGCCAAACAACTGAATACATTAAACGAAATAATGAACAAGTTAGTAGGCCAAATGTGTCAGCCAGTAGTGTCTATTGCAAACCACTTTCAAACTAGGATGATTGTAGGACATAATTCCCCAGTCCTAAGTCCAAATCAAGGGATAGAACCACATTTTGGTCCATCTACTTCAAACTAGGGGTGGTGTAGTGCCAAACTTGAATAATGGTAATGGTATATCAAACCTGAGGGTAACTCAAATATAAGAGACAATGTCCTGAATAATGTACAGAGTACCCCACGTGTTAATGATTGAATAAATACTCAGGCTAACAGTAATAATGGCCCAAATAATGGCAATTTTGTCGGCAACTAGGGACCAAATGTTAGGCTTCAGGCAACTCAACCAGTCAACCAACCTATAGGAATTTCATATGATCCCAACGTCATGTTGAGAAATCAAATTATGGAAATAATACATGATCAAATGGCTTTTGGGGGTACGCCATGTCATTAGGTCGACTTATATGAAACCATATCCTGATTGGGTAGACCAAGCATATTCATAGCCTAGAGGGTACAAAGTGCCAGAATTTTCATTATTCACTGGTTTATGAGAAGTATCTACTGTAAAACATATAGGGCGATTCACGCTGCAAAGTGGTGAATTGACTGATTATCATAAAATGAGGTTGTTCCCTAATTCATCAATAGGAGTAGCTTTCTCCTGGTTCATTAATTTGCCAGCGAACTCTGTTCAAACATGGCAATAATTTGAACAATTGTTTCATGCTCAGTTTTATAAGACTGAATCTAAAGTTACTTTGGTCGATTTGGCAAATCTACGTCAAATGCCAAACGAATGGGCAGAAAATTTCCTTCAAAGGTTCAAAAGAGCAAGAAGTAAATGTTTTGTACCTTTGCCCGAAAAAGAGTTTGTCAAAATCGCTTAAAGTTGTTTAAGTTTTGATTTGAAAAAGAAATTTCAAGACATGAAATTTCCTTATCTTTTCCAACTTAGTGCGAACGTGATTAGGTATGAACGATTGATAAGAGATGAAGAGCAAATGAAAAATTATAGCAAGGGGACTTACTATATAGACACCCGAATTTTGATGTTCATACAATTAATGATGTGTATTACGATCAAACTGAAGTATATTTGGCCGAATTAATCAAAGGAGATGCGTATGCTTGTCCTATATTGGCCAAACCTAGAGCGTCGGGTAAAGACAAGCCTATAAAAGCTGAAAACAAAAAGGATAGGACATTCTCATTAGATGTGACAAAAGCTGACCTTATATTCGATAAATTGTATTAGNCATTCTCATTAGATGTGACAAAAGCTGACCTTATATTCGATAAATTGTATTAGGATAAGCAGATAAAATTGAGCGATAAGCATAAATTGCCAAGCCTTGAACAAATTAAAGGTAAAAAATATCGTAAGTGGTATAATGTATGGTCACATTTGACTAACAATTGCTTGATTTTTCATCATGTGTTACAGGACGCTATCGAATCAGGGCGAATCACGCTCGAAGATAAGAAGAAGATGGCAATGGATGAAAACCCTTTTCCACAGCCATTTGGGGTAACATTGTGACGAATGGTTTCAAAAATAAGTTGTCAAGATTCAAATTGATTGTAGACGACGGAGAAGAAGACCCTGTGCCACATTTTAGCGTTTTTGAACGTATCAAATGGAAGAAGCCTAGAAAGGATGAAGACATTTTGTGTGCAAGATGTAAAGGAGAAGTAAGTGCAAAAACAGAAAAACCAGGAGAACGGCAACATCACCTCGCCCTGATTTTGTCCCAAACGCTCAGCCTGTTAGAGGACGACGTACATTGTTCTATAGAGGACAGCCTTTTGAGAGGCAGTTCAGGCCAATGAATAATGTGAGGGCATTTAGGCCGCAGTCTCGCCAACCAAATGTATGGCATTCATTCCAGTACAATGGAAGAAGGGTGATACCCTTCAATGAGATGACTAGAATCCAATAAAGGCGTTTCCAACGGAATTATGGATGAATGATGAGGCAACAACAGGGATTGTCATGTCCTAAAGCGCCTAAAATATTAGAGATGACCAATCAAAATAATCTAGAGGATAGTGGGGAGACTGGTACAGGTGGATCAATTGAAGAACTGCAAGAAAGTTTTTCTAGGAGATCAAAGTTTGAGCTAGGCAAAATGGATGAAGAAGATCCAGTTCAGCCTCTTACTATTTAGTTCGGTACGTTACCTCCTGTCATGGCTAATAACTATTTATTAGCCAATGAATTCAAAAACAAAGAGAATGAAGATGAG